TTTAATTATATTTTATTAAGTACATAGAAATATTCTACAATATTTTAACAAAATATATCCTACTAAATTAAATATTAAAATAAAACTTCCATACCATCTTTAAATATTAAAATAAAACCATCCATATTTGTAAAATTAATTGTTTGACTTTCAAACTTTAAATTATGAACATTTTCCAAATGATTAATTAAAAATTTTCCTTGCTGAAAGGAATTATCACAATCAAGTTCCAAACATTTAAAACCCCATACATTTTTAGCATAAAATATGCCTTCAATCTGTTTAAAATGAATTTGTGTGACGTTGTCTATTTAAAGTAAATTGTCTTGAAAACATTTTATCACAATATTTACACGTTACAGGCATTTATATAAAAAAATAATAATAAGACACCAAATATAAACATAAGAAATCAAATAAAGTTATGTTAAGTCCAAACAAATTCATAAATGTCAAACTGTCAAATTCAAACTGTTCCATTCCCAAAAGTTTAGGTGGTGGGGGGTGTGCCTAGTCGGGAAAAGCAATAAGATATTTAAAAACTAATATTTAACGATCACGAAAAAAAGAAAAAGTAAATAGTTTTAAAACAGTTTTTAACAGTAAATAGTAAAATGTCAGTAAAAATCAAGGTTAGTAAAAGGGAGGTTGCGTGTAACTCTGACATTTGACAAAATGAAATATAAACGTGTGACGTCACCAGGGGGTCAATTTTACGAATTGTTTGAAAACAACATAGGATAATTGGTTTTTTAGAGATATATTTTGTTGTTAAATATCGTTAGTGCTTTAGTTTATGTTAATATCTTGAGATATAATGTGTCTATAGATATTATTGAGTGATTATTAGTATACAACTTGGACCCAAAACTCTTATACAAGTGTTAAGATACATTTTAAGGTGGTTGTGTCTTACTGAATTTTATTTCTAAAGGGAACATTGGAATTAATGCTGAAAAAACATAACTTAATTCAATTTTTTTATTGATTGAGATGGCTGGTGGAAATTGGGTAATTACTTACATTAGTAAGGATAGTCGGATTAGTCTGAAATTTGGACAGTGGATTATGTTTTATTTTCTATTCACTTTTCAATCTATACATTTTTTTACGCTGAGCTATAGCTTTTCTGTAATTCGCATTTAAAATAACTGATACTTTGACATAAATTTCAAGATGCCGCCGCCATTACAGCTGCTGTCAATGATGTGCGTATGCGTTAGTACCACAGAATAATAAACAATCAGAAGGGACACTCTCAGATGCCGCCTTTGAAGTTTTTCAGCACGCGCGCCATGTTTGAGGAGGACACAGACATATGATTTGTGTGGTTATGTAATTGTTTATATTTATGTTTAATTATATTATATTTATGTTATTATATTTAACAATGTTAATATAATTGTGTAGTATGTCTATGATTGCTGTAAGTCAATTAAACCTGGGTTAATTTTTCCATGCACACCACATAATTTCTTTAAAATCCTCCTAAAACATGGCGGAACGTCTGCGCGGAGGAGATGCGCGTACTTAATTTTCCGTGGAGAGTGGGTATTCTGTATGTTTATTATTCTGTGGTAGTACATACTTCTTGATCTAATGTTGCCACACTTTTCAAATATATTGTTTATTGTGAAAATTATTAATTGTCAAATTACAATCATAAAGGAATAATGATAATGAGTATTATTTCCATTTTCTGTTTCTAAGGGATACTTATAACTGTATTTTCATTTGTTATTAACTTATGTTATTACGTATAGATTATAGCTTATTTCGTTTTATGTTGTATTTTAGTTGGATGCATTAGTTATCAACTTCTTTATTAGTTTAAAATGTTAGATGATATGAGTAGATTAGGTTTTAATTTGTTTTTTATTGGTACTCCATTTTGCTTATTTAAAGTACGCCGTAGCGTGTTTAACCACAGAATAAGAAACAATCATAATGCTCACTTTCAAATGCCGCCTTTAAAGTTTTTCAGCACGCTATCGCCATGTTTTAAACGGAACCATAGACTCGAATTGAGAAATTTGTGACAAGATACTACAAAACTGTAATTTAAATTTTTAGAGATTAATACTTAATTTAGTTAATTTGAAATAATTTTAATAATTAATAATAATTTTGAAATAAATTTAATAATAATTGGATTAGTTTGGATTTGGTTATAATTGTGTTATTTATTAGTCAATTATCGAGTTTTTGCAAAAACACTAAAGTCCGCTTTACATTTACGAGTACTCGGATCCGAGTAGCTCGGATTTGAGTTACGAGTGGAACTGCGATCGTTTACATTAAATCCGAGCGATCAGAGTAGTTTTAAAGAGAATTTAAAAATGGCGCCATCAAGAAAGAAACGAGCTGCTGTTTCATTAGTGTTATTAAACATTTTAAAGGAGAAAAATAACAACAAAAATTAAGACAAAGAAAAGCATTTGGGTGAAACAACATTTACAAGAGGTTTGTTAAAGTTAATGATTACCTAATTTAATCTAATTTAAGCATTATTTCCTTTGATAATGTCCCGATACTCCTTTAGTTCCACATTCCATAAACATTCAAAAGAACGATAAAGATCGATTAATTAATCCATTTGATCTGCAAAAAATCGTAGTTCCGCCATTTTTAATTTTTAATTTTCACCACTTTGACGCTCACTCGTACAGGTACTCGTACTGCTACTCGGTTTGCGTTCAACTTCAATCCGAGCTCGGATTCGAGTGACAAGAGGCTCCGAGTAGACGTTTATACTTCCGAGTTGCACTCCGAGTAGAGCAACTCGGATCCGAGTACTCGTAAATGTAAAGCGGACTTAATTCTGCAACAATTAATAAGTCATATTCTCCATTCGCTTAGCTCGGGCATATTTTGACAGAATCATTGTAGGAAACCTACAACATAAAAATTCCTACTTCTCAGTATTAATAGCTCAAATATACTACTATTGCAGACTTCTTCCTTTAAAAAAAGAAGAATTATTCCAAAAGTGGAAGTGTATACTAAACCCACAAAATTTTCCCTGTATATTTAAAATATAATATTTGAGTTGTTACAATTGAACATATTGTAGTAAATATTTGTATTATTCACGTTGTTTATTTTAGCTAATATGTTTTATTGTTCCATTATTTTTGTTTAATTCCTTGTTAGTTCTATTTTGAATGTTATTATTAGAGAGAGTCAAAGTTTTCCATTTGTTCTATCAGATAATGCGTTGGTAAGTTTTTCTTAAATAAATATAAATATGATAAATGTTCTTTAAAAGTTAATATTTATAGATGAGTAAGGATGCTGTTAAATTAAGAAGTAATCAAACTGCAAAAAGATTTATTCAAAACACCAACCATTTTTGTTTAATTATTTGCCCATTCGGCGTAGGTGGATCATTAAAATATATTTATAAAATTATGTAAATATGTTCTTAATAACAAAAACATTTCAGTTAACATCCAGTTCAGTTTGACATGGCGTCAAAAATTAAATAAAAGTTACAGTAATTTAGTTTATATCGTTAAATTGCTCCAAATGTAGGCAACCAACTTAAACTTTTTGTTAGGATTTAGCTGGAGTTTCTTGAGAATATTTTTAATAAACGTTTATTATTTTCCAGTTAATTTATTATTTTTTAAAAGTGATGATGATAATGCTGAATAAGCAATATTTCAAATGATATTTAATCACAAAACGTACTTAATATTGTGTTATTGTAAAATCCTCATAATAAAGTACGTTAAATAAAAAAGGTAAAATCCCGGATCGTCCAAAACTAGTTTCTAATAGGAATAATAGAAGATTATGATTTGTTTTAATTATATTTTTGATGATATTGGATTATGTTTTTGATGAATGATATTTTTGAATTATAATATGAATATTATGATATTTTTTATCTAACCTACTTTATAACACAATATTAAGTACGTCCTGTGATTAGATATCATTTGAAATATTGCTTATTCAGCATTATTATCATCACTTTAAAAAATAATAATAAATTAACTGGAAAATATTAAATGTTTATTAAATATATTCTAAAGAAACTCCAACTAAATGCTAAAAAAAAGTTTAAGTTGGTTGCCTACATTTGGCGCAATCTAACGATATTAAACTAAATTACCATAACTTTTTTTATAAAACATATTTTTTATATATAATAGAAACTTACATTCTATATACATGCTATAAATTTATAATTCATAGTATAAGTTTGCAAATAAGGTCGACGAAATACTCTTATGAAATGCGCTATGAGCACGTGTACTTGGTTGTATAATAATTTCCAGCCACTTCTAGTCTGTCAAAAAGTAACTAACTTCGTAAAAACATAATTACTAAAATCACTAGACAGTTCGGACTGGCATTAGCGAACCGAGTATATAGGAGTATACTCTTATTAAAATTTAAATTCAATATATTTACTCTGAAAAAAACAAATGATGTATGTGGCAACATTGAACCTGCGTTGGAATATCTTATGTTGTGCGCAAACGCGCTTGACTTGTTCTTCCAAATAAATGAATTTTGTCCATTTTACAATATTTTATATTTTTGGATAATTTAACGGAGAAAATTATTGGTATTTACAATTGATTTATAAATTTTATATAACTTTTACGGCTATTTCGTATTTCGATAATATTTTTCTCTTGCTAATTTTTGATTTTCTATACTTTTTATGAAATTTTTTCAATTTTTTTTACATTTTTCTACTTTTTGTATGTTTCCGTAGACGGAAACATGAAAATTTTGCCTTTTTTTCATTTTTCAGGCTAAGTCCCTGAAAAATTCGCATTTTTAGGGACCCTTACTATAGGTACCAATATTTGTAGTGTAGCAATCTGCAAATAATTCAAAAAATTCCAAAAAGAATGGAAGGAATTTAATGTTTTTTACATTTCCAAAAAAATGTAAAAATTCAAAAACAATGGATGAGCAAGTGTCATAGGAAGGATAAGTGGTCCTGTTTAAATAAAAGAATTTGTAGTATACACTTTCGCATGGACGATTATAAGGATGCTTTAAAATCTAAACTATTAAACACACAACCTAAAAAGCTGAAAGAAGATGGTAAGTAGGTATAGTCATTTAAATGTTTAGTAAAACTTTGTTAATTCACTGACTTTACAAAATAAAGTAAAAAACAAAAAAATATCATTAATATTAACTTCACATACTTAGTTGTAATTAAAACTTTTAATTTTAGGAATTCCCTCCTTATTTCTACTGCCAAATGAAAATGGTATACAAGAAATAAGTGTAAGATCAAAACGCATGGCCAGGAAAGATAACAAAGATGTTGTTGAACATTTAATTTTACAGAATACTGAAGAGGAGCAGATAAAAGCAATACAAACTCAGTTGAATCTCTTCTTCAGCATGGTTTACTTGTTTGGAGGAATTTATTATAATCCACTATACGCATTATCCTCAATTCAAAATAATTTAAAAAAGTAAATTGTATTCAACCCATTATTAGTATAGTATATTAATATGTTTTACTCACATGTATACACAAGAAAGAATTTACTTCCAATTTAATATAGTAATGCTATTTTACTACATAATATGTTTAGCTGCAATATTTTATGATTTCTGTAACTCTGCAGGTACTTATCTCCCACAGTTTTTAAAGATTGAATGAAATAAATAATTATTAAAAGTCCAAACGTATTTTTTTTCAATATAAATAGATTAATATATTTACAATCATTGCTGCTTTCCGAGTTCATTTCAAGGAGTAAACTGTGCACTGTGAAATCAATATAGAGGTGGGAACGTGTAACATATCACAGCGATTGCCATTGTGTTTTATGGTCTATAAAACAATGTCGTAATCTGTAGATATTTTAAAGAAAATTTTAACCTGTAGATAGAGTCTGCCTCAACTAAGGAAGAAAAGAGGGTTGGAAGTTCAAAAAGAACTTCACTTGCGAAAAGCGCAAGCTTTTTATGATTATCTTAATTTTTTTTTTGGGATTTTGGGAAGACCGTAAATTCTGGGGCAGATGGAGTTTTTCGGAACTATGGACTTCTTAACATCATCGGAAAGATCGGATTGTTTGATGGCATGGGAAATTTCGCGTTCGACTCTAGGAGTGGGGTCTCAAGAAATTGTATTATAACAGAATGTATCCCTAAGTAAGTCGTTTACTTTCTCTATGTAGGAGGGAGTATCCAGGATGACTGTGGCATTACCTTTGTCTGCAGGAAGGATTATTATCTCAGAAAAGAACGGAGATTTTTGAGAGCTATGAATTCCTCACGAGATATATTGGAAGTAGGGATTTTGGCTGTATCAAGACATTTAGCGACGTCAAAGCGGATACGGTCGGCTGGAATTTTGGGAATTGTGCGGAGTGCCGCTTCCACATTTGAAACTATTTCTTCGGTAGGAATTCTGGAATTGTTATAATACAATTTCTCGAGACCCCACTCCTAGAGTCGAACGCGAAATTTCCCATGCCATCAAACAATGTTATCAAACCCATTACCGCCCCTATCTTCCTGTGGTGTCTATTCTATTCCTTGTTCATGTGGACATGTGTATATTGGCGAAAACTGGTCGTTCCGTCAAAACTCGGATTCAAGAGCATCAAAGATGCATTCGATCAGGTCTTTTCTCCCATTCTGGAGTTGCAGAACACTGCCAAGAAACCGGTCATTCCATATTGTTCGAAAAAAACCCATATTATTTCTAAGAGCCCCTTCTTTTATTCCAGGAAAATCCGCGAATCCCTAGAGATCCGAAAAAATCCACATAATATCAATCGAGAGGAAGGATACTACTTGTCTCCCATTTGGAATCTCAGTCTAGAGCCGCCGTCCGGTCCCGCTACCACGATGCAGCCACATGATTGGCCAGCGCGCGCTTCTTGAAGTTCGCGCCACGGAGTGTGCCGATACGTCCCGACACGACAGGTCACCGCGACTATAAATAGAGCGGTTAGCGGAGTAATCGTCGGATTCACTCCCCCGCCTCTCGACGCGTTAGTGTTCTGAGCTGTTGGACGTGAATCCCTGTCCTGGCATTTGGTTTTCACCTCTGACTGCGTTAAGTAGTTGAGTTACTGTGACCAAATGCCCATCTTGGTAGTTAGTATTCGCCTCTGGTTGCGTTGAGTAACTGAGTTACCGTTGCTAACTACCCATCTTCCTGTCTTTTGATTTCTTTTTCTTTGTTCTCCTGAAGAAACTACATACAATTGTAGCGAAACGTCGAGATGAACCCACTTTTGGGTCACTCACAAATGACACGGTCCAAACCCGGAAGACGAATAAACTATAAGAAATATTACATTTGCCTGAAGAGTGATACTCTATGGTAGAAAGCTGCGGTAAAAAGTTTGTTGTTGAGCGTGTTACACAAGAAATGATTTTTGACGTTAACTCATTTTTGGAGACCCAATTTAAAAAGACTTCAGTTGTCAAGAAAATATCCTTCTTATAGTGCCTTGCACCTATAGTGTGTTGGCCAATTCTTATCTTAAGGCCAGACGTCCGTCTTTTGCGGCATGCAAAAGATCGCCAGTGTTATTTATGCCTGTCCAGTTCTTTATGTTCCGTAGCCACATTTGTTTGCGACCTACTTTTCTTTTGCCTTCAATCTTCACTGGATGATTAGTTGAGGGATTTTTTTCCTCTCAGAATATGGCCGAGGTATCCAATTTAAATGGATCAAAAAAAGGAAACCTGGATCAAATTAAGTAGTTCTCTCTCAGTATTTTCCTTTCTTAAGACTTCCTCGTTTCTCACCCTATCTGTCCATGGTATACGAAACATTCTTCTAACGTTCACATTAACTTAATGTCCATGTTTCCATGTCGTATAATAATATGGACCATATAGAACATTTAACCATCCTATAGCGGAGATTGAAGGAAAGATTGCGGTTACATAGTAGCGGTTTAAATTTGATAAAAATTTGTCTTGCTTGTTCGTACCGCATTTTATTTCTTGTTGAGGATCCCATTGGTCATTCATCATTATTCCCAAGTGTTGCAGTTTCGCAACTGTATATAAACATTTGTAAAAGAATAACAGACTTTTTAATAGTTTCGATTTTCCTAGTATATTTAAACTGAGATTTGCCTATACGAAAATTACAGCTGTTTTAAGAACTAATTTAAAATAACGAGGCATCTGCGAAATATAATCACACGTGTGTATATAAGTTAAGGGTTTGAATTCCATCTACAAAATCGGACTCGAGTTTTATCTTTCAAAGCATACATGTGTATGTGCGTTTGGGTTAAGAGTACCTGAGACTCCGCATTGGTCTTTTGGCTGAGAAAGAGGTCAAATTTGTGGTTCCTCTATATAAATCGCTGAAGACGTTTGTGATAGCCGAGGTGCTATCTTTTAATGGGGTAAAGTTTCATGGACACCATTTATCTATGTTGCTGCATATATCAAGTACGTTACTTATTGGTATATAGATTTTCTTATTTGCTTAGAATTTGCTCATTTATGCCGCGATCGCGATAGAGCATTGCTAAAAAAATATTTTTCGTATACATAAATAGTATATTACATAACAAGAGTTGTAAGAAGCTTATTACATGCGAGTAAAAAATTTTTGCGCGAGCCGCGTAGCGACGAGTGCAGTAATTTTACAAGCATGTAATAAGCTTTCAACTCAAGTTGTGTACTATACTTTTTCTACGATTATTTTCGTTTATAAAAATAAAAATTAAATTACCACTTTATTTACACTGACAGATTAATAATTTTTAATCTGTCAAAATAACGTCTGTTAATTCGTTTCCATGGTAACTCGACCAACTGACTTACGAGGCTTATGTGATATTAGACATTTTTATAAAACTGAAGCGTAATTTTTTTTATTACGTGCTAGTCATTAGGTGTCAGTATCTGTTATGATACATTTACTTAGCATTCAAATAGTAGTTAATATACAAATTACTAGTAAGAGAGTAGAAAAACATTTATTTTAGCGTATATACTGTATTCTATATTGTATTCTGTTAACACCGATTATAGTTCATGTAGGTTTTGTATTAATATTTGTATTACTATTAATATAATTCATATATGTTACGTCTCATTGCATTTTGTGTAAATTTTATTATCAAGATTTGTTCATTTTGCCACGGATTATGTATATTATTATTATATGTGCGCATATTTTTCACTCGTTAACGTCTAATATCAATTTATGCATTATTTCCAATCATACTCAACCATAGCAATCGAAATCTTAAATTCCTTTGTTGTTAATGTGTTCTTAAAACCTATTCATCGACATCTTTGTTTTATTTTGGTTATGGTTGTTTTTTGGTGTTTCATATTAACTAATTTGTACATTTGATTATGTATATTTATGTTTTAATTTCACTGCTTTTTTAAATAGAGTTTTATACAGTTCGCTGGCTTTCATTTCTCTTCTTTCATTTGAATATACATACCCAATCCGAAAGGGGGAAACCAGCGAGTTCTAGATTGAACAGAATATGATTCTCTCCTCCTTCAGGATGACCTCAATTGTTATATTGAGGTCATCGTATGTGCAGAACGCAACAGTTGTAACCATGGACGTATAAACACAGATGGACTCAGTTATTTACATAAAATTGTGTAGTCAAAATTATAGTCATAATTATAGTCAAAATTAAAATAGGTCACATTCTGAGCACCTTCAACTGTTGTCACGTTTTGTTTTAATATTTCTTATTCGCGAGTGGCTGAAAATATTACTCCGTATTTTATACTCTACAGGTGCTATCAAACCAAAATAATAATTTATTGGTTAGATTAATATATTTAATTGTAATCAAAATATCAAGTATGCACATAGTGTGCATTATCATTTAATAATAGCGTATAATAGATATCAATCAATTATTTTATATGTAGAAGCACTGAAAACTATTTATAAATGGCAACGGTTGTTTACATTTTTCTGTCTTATGGATCTACGTCAAACTTCAAATGCCTGTTCCATGTTTGTTTACTTTTTTTTGAGTGATATTTGTGAAAAGTGAAATAAAATAAACGGAATATTTACATCCCGATCTCTCATTTCATTTGTAAGTACATACAATTTACATTATTTAAGATGATGAAATGAGGAAGCGTGTTTGTTTACATTTTAATAGGCGTACCATTGGGTTTATTCATGTTCATTAATGTAATGAATAAGATATAAGTTCATGAAATTAGTAGACATTTATAAATTGTAAGTAGACATCATCTGATTAAAAAAGATCTGTTTAGTACCTTTTTAATTTAATATTTCT